GTTCGTGTGCTACTGAAAGAAGTCTGATTAGGAAATGTGGTGATTTCCGTAATAGCTATCACTTCTACCATTTTTTCAAATTATTGTTGCTTTTCCACAATAAATTTTCTTTAAAAAACGGCCTCGAGCTCAATAAAAATTGTTGAATATAATTGTTATAAGGCCAAAAAATAACAAAAACAAATAACTTAAGGACGAGCACACCTAAAAGTTAAACATTCTAAAAATAGAATTATTAGCAAAAACCAACAATACCAACAACCACATGATCAAGTGAATTGCAGCGGAATAGCTGCGCTTGATTGTGTTGGCATAACAAAAATGAAAATAGTGGAAAAAAGCAAACGATAATTTACAAGGCGTACTTAGCACGGTGCATAGGCAACTGGCTGAGTCAGTGGGATCGTCGGTTCGAAGCCTACTGAAAGAAGTCTGATGAGGAAATGTAGTGATTTCCGAAATAGCTATCACTTCTACCATTTTTTCAAATTGTTGTTGCTTTTCCACAATAAATTTGCATAAAAAACGGCCTCGAGCTCAATAAAAATTGTTGAATATAATTTATGTAGTTAATATAATAGCAAAGGTGTGGGTGAAAATTTAGATACAGAAAAGAATACAGATAAAGATGTGAATTAAAGTAAAGGAAGTGATACATATAAAAACAAAGATATAAAACGAAAGAGACAAAGATAGAGATAAAGGTAGGTAAAATTGAAGAATGATATGTATATTGTGTTGTTGTTGTTGTAGCGGCTACAACAACCCCGCCCAGATCGGTTGATATCTCAGCCGTTGTCGTCAAGCTCCACTAACGGAAGCCCCAAGAAGCGTGCAGCCTCAATGGGGTCGGTCCTCAGGGACAAAGGCGTTAGTGTTGTCAGGTTTTCCGGGCATACGAAGAGATGTTTCGAGCCGTGGGGTGTCTCTCCGCATGCCGAACACTCATTTGGCACATCTGCGTCTAATCTGCTCAGGTATGAGTTTAACCTGCTGCAGTAGCCAGAGCGAAGTTGGGCTATCGTGGTTCTAGTCTCCCGAGGCAGATGAAGCTCACGTCTCGTCGATGTCCGGTGGTTGTCCGCCTAGAACGGCATTCACAGGTCTGGAGTCTACATAACTCCAGACTGACTCCCTGTGAATGCCGTTCAGGGCCTGTCGATATGCTGCAGGTCCAGAGGTTGCTTAATGAACCTCAGGACTTCATCCGTCAGTTTTTTGTTGTTGTTGTAGCGGCTACAACAACCCCGGCCAGATCGGCTAATATATCAGTCGTTGTCGTCAAGCTCCACTAACGGAAGCCCCAGGAGGCGTGCAGCCTCAATGGGGTCGGTTCACAGGGACAAAGGGGTTAGTGTTGTCGGGATTTCCGGGCATACTAAGAGATGTTTCGAGCCGTGGGGTGTATCTCCCCATGTCGGACACTCATTTGGCACATTTGCGTCTAAACTGCTCAGGTACAAGTTTAACCCGCTGCAGTAGCCATAGCGAAGTTGGGCTATTGTAGTTCTGGTCTCCCGAGGCAGATGAAGCTCCTTCTCGTCGATGTCCGGTGGTTGTACGCCTAGAACGGCATTCACAGGTCTGGAGTCTACATAACTCGAGACTGACTCCCTGTGAACGCCGTTCACGTCTGTGGCTCCCAACCAGAAACTGCTTGCAGAGCATTGTGTTATGCNTTCTCGTCGATGTCCGGTGGTTGTGTTCCTAGAACGGCATTCACAGGTCTGGAGTCTACATAACTCGAGACTGACTCCCTGTGAACGCCGTTCACGTCTGTGGCTCCCAACCAGAAACTGCTTGCAGAGCATTGTGTTATGCTCCTTAACAGGGAGCATTTTCGACTCGTCGTGCAGGTGGTATTCTGGCGACATCAGAAGGCATCCAGTCGCTGTCCTAAGTGCAGTGTTTTGAGTCGTCTGTAGCTTCATCCACTGCGTCCTAATAGTCCCCGGCAACCACACTGGTGCTGCGTAATTTAAAACCGGCCGGCCTATTGCATTGTATGTTGCCAGCAACGTACTGCCGGCTAGGGACTTGAGGACTTTGTTGCGGCTCTGTACTTTGTTGACAATAGCGGTTGCGTGAGCAGAGAAGGAGAGCAGACTGTAGAAGGTTATTCCTAGTATTTTGGGGTTATTCACCGTCGGAATTGGTGTATAATCGACGTGAATTCCCAGCGGTAGTCTGAGGTGGAGAACAAGGTCGCAGAAGATTTTGTAGGAGACAGGGTTAGGCTCCTTGCATTGAAGAAGCGAGAAATCTCGGAGAGATACCCCTTTACTTTCGAACACAAGTCATTAATTCCATTCCCAGACGCCATGATCGAGCAATGTCGGCATAAGATACAATCGAGACTCCCTCTGGTGGTTGAGGGAGCTTTGAAATGTAAAAGTTAAACAGTAGTGGGGAAAGGACATCACCCTGTGGAACCCCGTGTTTTATTTATTTGAGTTTGCTCGATTTGTTTCTAAACATTACCGACGAGTGTCGACCACTCAGATAATTCGCTGATCACCGTTTCAGCCTCTATGTTTTCTAGTAGCGTGGAGTGGCTGACGGTGTCAAACGCCTTTGACAGGTCCAACGCTACTAGAATAGTTCTCTCACAGGGACGGTTGCGGTTTAGGCCACGAGTTATCTGAGTGTTTATTAGGCTGGGTCGATTTTGTATGGGGGAAAATAAAAGGCATTTGACCGTATTGTAATAGTAATATTATGATGTCTTAGGTCTAAGCCAATTGTTATTGGCCACGAAAGATTAATTTAAAACTTATCTTTAGCCCGCGCAATTGAATCAAAGTGTATGAATTTTTAAAATTTAACTTTGGCTTGTAATATCTATGGTATGCGTTAATTGTTATAAATAGGACGATATATCAAATTAAGGGTTATTAAATTTAGTATCTCACGTTCATTTATCATTTTTCAATAAGTCTACACGTTTTTAAGGTATGGGGGCGTTCAGAAATCACGTGATCATTTTTTTTTACATTTTGGAACCCTCCCCCCCCATAGTGATCTATGGTGATGTTATGCGAACCCCTCCTTCCCCCTCCCCGCGAAAATCGCGTGATTATTTACTGAGAAATTAAAAGGTTTTTTTGCTCTAAGCAGAAAAATAAAAATTTTCATTTAACACTTCATTTAAATAAATACAATAAATACGTAACATAAAAAGTACAAAAATTCATTTGAGTTAAGGTAGTGCGTCTTAGCCAGGGAAACATTTTTTAAATAACCTGATTATGCATCAAGCCATGGGTTTGCACATACGTCAGTTACACTAACGATAGAAAGCTTCTCATCTATATACATCATCAACAATATCGTTTTCATCGAGTCACTCTACCACATTTGTTCCGTCACTTCCATTTAAAATACACAGAACTTCAGCTGGACGACGATTAAGGATCCTTAACGAACGTATTGGTTCAAAATTTCTTTTCTTTTTATGCAAAGACTGAAGATGATTATGCAGACCTTTTTTTGAGCTGAAGTATAGCTGACAGTTAATGCACATGCGTTCGGTGATCAACCCTTTTATGGTTGGACAAAAGAAGTCGTAGGCCATTTTATTTATATCAAAATTTAAATGTTTCGATCCCAACGATAGTCTTAAAAGTAAAGGCGCGAAATGTTTTCCATCATGCGCGTCAGGTTTTGGGACAATTAGACCACTAGGTGTTTGCAGAAGAGGGTATGGAGGAGGTAAAAAGCGGTGATGTAAAATTTTTTAGTCGGGAGCTCCGCATTTGCCCACAGCAATATATATTAGTGCATTTAACTATTTGAAGCATATACTGACTTTCTCGAACGTGTGTGCTGTACCACTTAGTACATGGTAATACCGGAACAAAATTTTCAGCTCTAGCATCTGCTTCAATGTACTCTGCAAATACTTCGTAGCTGTCGATGACCATACCACTCCATATTTCAGCTAACACCTCACCAGCTTTACGAAAATTTATCTTCTCTAATGTTGGATCAACAGTTTTCCCATTTCCATCTAGATGGTTGCCGAAAGAATCGTGAGGTAGTATTACCCCCGCCAATTCCCGACTTAATGGAGCCATTCTGCGTTCAACCCTATTAAAGGCGCTTCTACCAGGTGCGTTTGTGAATATAAAAATAGCGTCGAGGTCATGTTTTTGAAAGTGATGAATTGCATGTGCAACCACCTTGGGGTATCTAGGATTTTCATCCGGGCCTCCGTCAGAAGACACAAAAATAACCGGCTTAACACGTCCACAATTATCTTTTATGACATTTCGGAATTGAGTTAATGTGATAAGTTTTTCAAAATCAAATGCATGTGTGGATGCGGTCGATGACGAGTGCTTTCCACTTCTGATGGCAATATAAGATGGTCCAGAGTAGGTTACTGCTTCCGGACGTCCTATTTCACCATTTTGTATTACACATGCAGCATAAACGCTAGGTATCAACTTGTGTCTGGCGGCTATCATCCAATCGTGATCAGGAAGCGAAACGCGGTACTCCATATGCATTAAGACAGGTGCCTGCTTGTTAGCAGCTGCTAAACCTATTGGTACACGAGCTTTATCATCTTGCGATAGAAAGCATGCTTGCAGCGGGCCTAGAATACTTGCCAGCGTTTCCAACGATCTAATTGTAGCGACACAGAAGTGCTGGTCCAAATGGCTTTTGTGATGATCAGCCTCTGGCCGACTCAATTTAACAGGTACGGTAACAACGTGCTTTTTTCCTTCCGACGTTTTACAATTTTTTGGCATTAATCGCAAATATGTCGCGCTTCTAGATATTTGGTAACCGAGATGTAACAATTTTTCATGAAGGTCGCTTAAGGTTTGACAACTCCGTACAATTTCACTTCGCCGACGTTCGTTGGCAGAAGCACCAAACATGGCTATGTCGACAATTGTTTTGAGTAACTCAGGCTGCTTACATTCAATACGAGGACGGCCTGGAGTACTATGTGTTACATTGGCTGCGTCGACATTATTTGCACTTATTTCTGCTAGTTTCGATTTAAGAGTTAACCTATGCTTTTTGGAGTGAATAGCGTGAAGCTTTTTTCTTCGGAGATGTTTTTTACAAGACTCAATACGTTTTTTGATTTTAGAAATTTCGTTTGATTTTCCACGGAGCAATGCCACATTGTATTCAGCTTTCAGTAAAGAAATTTGATTCCGCAGAACGTCCTGCGCTGGGGTATTACGACAAATTGGCGTAGTAAACTCTTCAGAGTCCTTGCTATTTTGAACTACGTCTGCGGTTTCACTCTGGCTGCAGTCGGGTTCAATTGCGGGGGTAGAACTATCGTTCAGTTGAGGCGTTTCTTTATCATTGTTCTGAAATGCATAATACAATAATGCATTACTATTACAAACTTTTAATAAACTAAAATCTGTCATCACCTTTTCATTGGGGTGTTGGAAGTACTGGGCAATATTGGCGATCTTAACTTTTGTCGTTGACTGCTTTAGCTCTTTAATTTTATTTAAAATAATGCTTTCGAAATCAGTTTTGTCTGTACAAGTTTTTTTAGCATCTCTCCAGAAGATGTTTGTACTTTCCTGGCACGCTGCTTTTGTTTTATTTGTATGTCGTGCAACATATGCACGAAATAGCTGCAAGTGAAGATTGGAATTCATTTCACCATAACTTTTTGAACTTAAATCATAGGCATAGTCACGGGATTCGCCGTGGAGGCTACTCCGCAGCAGGGGGCCACAAATGATGTGGTCCACTGCCGATGAGTCCGTTGGCCTGAACAGACTCTGAGGTGACTCCACTTGTTGCAAGCATTGCACTTGACTGAGGTGGAGTTGTGGTGTAGTCGTCTCTGGGATACAAAGCGGGTGTAAGTTTCTGGCCCAGGGTTTGACTCGATGCCAACCCTGAGCAGACGAATACGTAGCAGACACAACTTCTGAGACATTTAACCGACCTAAACGGGGTTAGATCGCCGAAACAACAGCCCTTGGTCGGGTAAAGCCCGAGTCATTCCGGTACGTAGGACCGGCTGTCGTGGGAACGAGCTATACTATGAATATGAGCATATATTAAAGATGAATAAATAAAAACCAATTTCAAAACTGAAAAACGCAAAACTGATTGTAGAGTCAAAATATGTTATTCTAATTTTAAATGTTTATTTGAATAAAGAAAATTTTTGAACGAAAGCAAATTCTCATGCGCAAAGATTTTGTGTATGAAATATGAGCAGAAGGCGTGTTACTTAGGTGTATGGGGCGTATGAGTAACATTCTTTCGTGCTCAATTTTCATACAAATAATCTGGCGCATTTTTATTTGTCCACTCATTATTTCGTATTTATCCATCGATTTTCTTCATCAGTAACTTGATTGTTTTTTGTAACAGAACAAGCTTTAGTACAAATGCAAAAATTTGAAACATAACCTGTTATTTTTTAAATTTTTTCTCTGTTAAAGTTTGATTTTTTTAATTTTTTCATTAAAAAATAAAAAAAAGCTGGAATGATTAATTAATTTGTCAGAAACTATAAGCCCTATCGGAAAGTGATGTATACACGTTTTATGGAGAATTTCACTGGCTTTCATTTGCCGTATTTTATATCTATTATATTTTTATATTTAGATTTTTAAATTGGTTCGTAAGATATACTTGAAAAGGAACCAATTTTTGCTTTATCTATCTCGAAAAAGTGTTCATAGAAAAAAAAATTAACTCGATTTTCGGAATCACCGAGCAATTCTACATAGGAATTGGATAGTGGCATCCCCAGAATATTTTTGCTGTAAACCAGTGTTATTTATCTCTTTACGCATATAAGACCAAAAATATTTATATTGAATCAAACGTCTAGTTGTACGGATACTTGGATGTTATAAAGAGTGAGTTTTGTCAAAAATGATTTTTCTCATAGAATTTGGAACAAATGGTCTAAAAGGTTTTTGTGAAATATCACACCAAATATTAAGATCAAGAATCGGAATATTAATTTCTTTTAAATTACTATTACAGTTTTGATCAGTTATAATGCCTTGAAGTGTTTGATCTTTTTTCTGTTCCTCGTATAACGTCTGAAAATTTATATCCTGAGCTAAAATCGTGTTAACATCTGGAATACGTGAAAGTGTGAAATGTATTGAATGACATTTGTAAATTGTGCTATGTACTCAAGGTGTCGAATTTGTCGAGGTGATTTTTCTGCTTTTGAATTTATAATAGGTTTCTTCCACAAGCTACTCGAAGTCCCTTCGAGTTACACATACGCGTTCCACCAGTAAGTTTTTGAGTTTATTTGATATACGATGACAGTTTGAAATTTGCTCGAGTTTTTCTACAAGTAGCTTGTGGAACAAACCTAATACGTGTTAAAGGTTTATGATCAGTGTATACAGTGAAAATTCTACCCTCAAGAAAATGTTTAAAGTTTTTAATTGAATTGTTTATTGCCAAAAGTTCTCTGTCAAACGTTGAGTAATTTATTTCTGCAGGAGATAATTTTCGTGAAAAATAGGCAAGTGGTTAAAACTGTCAAACCGTCGTTGCGTGCAGATGTGTTTTTTATCGCTCTCAGTTTTCGAATATTTGCTAATGGGTTCCATAACTTTATTAGTGTCAAAATGATTACTAAAACTTAATGAAGTTTTTTCTATGTTCGTGCATAATTTTTGAGACAGTGACTCTTGCATATTATAAACAAATAACGAAAAAAGACGTTCCTATTAAAAATGCCTTGCTGCTGTAACCATAAAGTTGAGCGTTCGCAACCAAAAATCCAGTGCGCAAAGTGCAATGAACTATTTCATTTGGAATGTGTGAATATTTTGCCGGCAGACGCTGTGTTTCTGCTTAACTCAGAAAGGCCTTTTCTGTGCAAAGTGTGTGCTGAAGCTCGGCGATATTCTATTCGCTCCCCGCCTCCTCCTGTTATTCTTAACGAGAGTGTTGTTGCTACTAATGCCATTGCTTCGGATTCCTCTAGCAAAGAAATCGGTGCCCATCGCAATAACAACCTCCCACAGCAGCACAAAATTCCTAAAAGTGCCTTGCCTAATCAACTAACTAGTAAAGCAAGTCGGTCTATCGAAAATGCCAATAATAACATTAATCTAAACTTAAGGCCAAAAGAGACTGCTACTCTGAGGGCAGAAAATGCCCGCGCTGTCTCGCTAAGCCTTTCTAAAGTAAGTGATACCACTAGTGGGTCTAACAACAAGCAGCAGGTATCATTGGTTTCGATTTTCAATGCAATCGTCTCTCTACGTGCTGAGAATGCTCGTATGCATAATCTCATTTCAACTCTTCATGAAAATAATAATAAATTAACAAACAAGGCGGACAGCATGCATTCGGATCTCTTACATATGCAGCGTAGCCTTCGGGAAAAAGATGATGCTATAAAATCACTCACAATGGAAATNTATTCGGATCTCTTACATATGCTATAAAATCACTCACAATGGAAATCAAAGATCTACGTGCTACTGTTAGTGCTGCTTTTGTGAAGGTTCGTAGTCAAAAAGAGGCGAATTACGAAAATGGTGCACTTATTGATGTTAGTACCACTAACAATTCTGCGATCATGTCGCGCATGGAAGCCAAAACTAAGGCTAAATCCTCTGTAGTTGCTAATAATGCCCTCGCTGTCTCT